TCACTTTGCGGGAACACAGGCTCTAAGAGGCTGACTGAATAGTCCAAGGTCATGTAGCCCAGTCGAGACTGTTCTCCCTTGGTAAAAAACAGCAAAGCTCAGTATGTCTGGTCATGAAACTTGGGGCCAGCCCTTCCTGTCTCGATTCTGCCTGAGGGCTAGACGGACAAGGGGGTGGGCCTAGGGCCCGACTACACAAGAGTCATGCCCAGGAAGAAAGGGCAGGAGCCTCCTCTGCCAATTGTCGAGGCTTTGACCAGTAGCAGGGCACCCAATTCAATTTGCTTATCTCCCTTCCTGCCTCCCTCTTTCCTGTGCTCTTTAATTATAGGCAGAGTCAGTGTCTTTTCCAATAAGTGCAAAGATGTCAAAGGGTCTGAGTGGGCAGAGGAAACAAGACATCCTTGATGGACCTCCACACTCCCTAGTTCCGGCCTTGGAGCAGGAAGGAAGGACCAGCCATGGATCATGCCCAGTCCCTGTCTCTAGCCATCTGGCAGCAGTGAGCCAAGGCAGGGAACCCTGGAAACTGGACAGTAGAAATCAAAGGTTAAAATGCACAGATCCTTTGAGCCAGCAAGTCCATTCTGGAAAAAGTTTTGCACAGATATACACACATGTACAAAGGATGTTCATTACAGCCCCGTTCAGAATAGCGAGAGACTAGAAACAACCTAAATGTCCATCAACAGGGGGATGGTTAAAAATGTTTTTTTTTCTGTGCCATGGAATACAATGCAGTTATTAGAATGAGTGAGGAATAATCTCTAAGATACATTGGTAAGGAAAAAAGACAAGAAGCTGAGAAGAGTGTGTAGGGGTGCTGTTTTTTACCAAGGGAGAACAGTCTCGACTGGGAGCTGAGAAGAGTGTGTAGGTGTGCACAGGTTTACATAAAAGGTATTTACTGCTTCTCACACATGTGTGTATTTTTCAGGAGGGTATTTAAGAAACTGCTAACACTGGTTTCCTCTGGGAAGGAGAGTTATTTTTCACTGTAAATTCTTATGCTTTCTGAATTGGGTGCCATGGACAATCTATTCAGTGAAGCACTTGATTTTATAAAAGACAATGAGATGTTCTCCCTGGAGATCATGTAAAGGCATGAAGGGGGCTGGTCATGAAACATTTTCCATTGAAACTGAAGGCCCTCCCAGGTTATCTGTCATTGCTGTTTTTGATGAGACAAATATTTCTCTAAACCCCTATCTCTGAAGGAACACCATCAGTGGACCTTCAGTTTTGAGGATGTGGATAGAACATTTTAGGTCCCCCTTCTCTTCCTAGAAATACCCTGAAAGCAACATGGAACAAAAACAAGTTCCATTATTGGCAAAACTAGATCACTAACCCCCCAAACCAGTGGTCCCCAACCTTTATGGCACCAGGGACTGGTGCTCCTATAAGAATCTAATGCCTGATGATCCGAGGTGGGGCTGAGGCGGTGATGCTAGCCCTGAGAGCAGCTGTAAATACACATGAAGCTTTGCTCACTAGCTGCTCACCTCCAGCCTGGTTCCTAACAGGCCACGGAACTGGTACCAGCCCAGGGGTTGGGGACCCGTTCCCTAAACAAACAATAGGTGGATCAGCTGCCCAAAGCAACTGAGATCAAGTGGGGCCAAGGGAGGAAGCAGAGGGAAGATGCCATAGCTATGGATTTCAGAACGAGCCAGCAGTGTATACTTCCCAAATATGAGGGACACACCCTAAGGTATAAAATCTGAACTCTGTCTTTGCAGCAGTGAAACCAGGGATCCATCGGCTGGCAACAGAGCTTCCCTAGATCCACTTGATTCTGAAGAGCAAAGGAGGTAGGGCTAAATAAGAAATCACACAAATATGCCACATTTGCAGGAACCTGTTTGTCTCTGAGGCAACTGGAGGAAAAGAGCTGGGCTAGAAAAAACTCACCTCCTCCGGAGGCAAATAATCAGAATTGAACCAGTACAGGATCTAATCAAAAATATATATAAGAAAAGTGAAGGAAAGGCAAAGCATAGGTAAAGTAATGGTTGGCAGAAAACTGCTTGCCCTCAGAAAAATGTGGCCCCAGAAGAGACGAAGATTATGGCCAAATATTTCATTGTGAAGGAAAAAACTTAGTTGTTTCTGTAAAGCAAAAACACAAAGCAGATATACAAGAGGAAGAAAAAAACTTATCAGGAAAGCGAAAGGGGGAAAATAAAATGAGTGCAAGGGGAAAAAGGCACAGAAAGCAGAAAAGCAGAAAAAAAAGGAAATAAGGAGCTAGAAAGGCTTAATCAGAAGAGAGCAGATAGACAGCCAATCTATGCTTAACTAGGGTCCCCAAAAGAAGGAAACTGAAATACAAGCCTCAGAACCGCCTGTCAAAAGGGCATGGTACTGTGTTCCAAGAAAAATAGACTTGCATGGCCAACATCAAGGCACAGGCTAGTAATGACATGAAAGATACGGAAAGATCAAAATGAATATAAAGGAAAAAATCAGGCTTCAACTTCTCCACGGCAACATTCAACATTAGAAGAGAAAAGAACAAGATCTGCAAAAATCCTCAAGGAAACAAAGTGACCCAGGGATTATTTTTTACTCATTCAAGTAGAAAGGTGAGAGACCGTTCTGAACATGAAGGAACTCCAGGAGTGCTGTTCACAGGAAGCCTTACGCTGTGGACTACAAGGTCAACTTCAGATGATGGGAAAGTAAGGCAAAAGTGCTGGTGGTGAGCACTGACCCTGTTTATCCAGAGGACAGATTGAAATGACTGCAGTGATATAACCAGATGCTAACATTACAGACCCTAGGAGAGTAATAGTATCTTTCACAACAGAAGGGAGGAGACAAGGAAAGATGACAGTAGTATAAGAACATGGATGTCCTCAGTTTTAATACTTGGGATCAAAAGACATCATTTAAAGCTGATGTCAGGTAATAGAGGTTTAAAGGTTTGAAGTGAACTCCATAAAAATGTTGTAGAAAGGAAGAGGAAATACAGTTGATGCTTGAACAACACAGGGGTTAGGCACGCAGACCCACCACCCACCCCGTGCAGTGAAAACTCCACATATAACTTTGACTCCCCCAAAACGTAACTACTAATAGCCTACTGTTGACCAGAGCCCTTACTGATAACAAACAGTTGATTTACATATTTTGTAATATGTATTATATACTGTATTCTTATATAAGGTAAGCTAGAAAAAAAGAAAATGTAAAGAAGAGAAAATACTTACAGTACTGTACATATTTACTGAAAAAAAATCACATATTTTAAGAATTAAACCATAAAAGAACTATAAGAAACCCTGGTAGAGCTATTTCTTGTTTTGTTTGTTTTTAATAATCTCAGCGTGAGGAAGGTCATTCTAAGTATTCCAAAGGCCAAGAAAGGAAATAATGACAGGTTTCACTTCACAAAGAAAATCTCTCCATGGCAGAACCATAGACAAATGACAAACTGGAAAAAACATCTGCAATTCATGTGACAGACAGCGGTCTACTTCCAGCATATACAAAGAGCTCCTACAAATCAACAGGGTCAAAAACAACCCTATTGGAAAAATGGACCAAGGAGATGAATAGATAAGTCAGTCAGACTACATCTATCAAAATTACAAATGCACATACCTTTGGCCCAGTATTTATTTCTACTTCTAGAAATTTATCTTGTAGTTGCATTCACACCTTTGTGACACATACACGGTTGTTTATTGCTGCATTGCTTATAATGGCAACAGGTTGGGTGTGGTTCTACTTAAGAGACTAGTCAAATAAATTATGGATCATCCTTGCTATGGAAAACTATACGTCAAAAGAATGAGGAAGCTCTTTAGATGCTGACATATAGGATATATTACTAAGTGAAAAACTGAGGTGCAGGGCAGTGTGTAAAATATGTGTGGACACACATATTTGCTGGGATGTGCATAAGAGATCTAGAAAGACACACGGGAAGATGACAGTTCTGGCTGCCTCTGAAGGAGACAGGGTTGGGCAACATTGGGAGAGGGAGGCTTTGGTCTATATACCCCCCATCATTCCTTTTGAATACTAGACCACATGAATGTGTTACCATGTCTAAAGGTAAATCCATGTTAAAAAAAGAAAAAAAAAAAAACAGTGTAAGCACAGCGACAAATGGCAACTGATCCTGTGCTATAGGACAGAGGTGATAGGGAGGGGTGGGGACTGTGGTGAACTGGAGATGGGTGTCCCTTTAAAGAGGCAAAAGTCCAGTTCTAACCAATAGCTGCCTGCGTATAGGAACACAGGCCTATGATGCCAGATCCTCTGATTTTTTTTTTTTTTTCGAGAGACACTAGAAATCCAGATTTTTATACAAATCCGTTTTTAAATGTTTGCAAATACTTCAAAATTAAAAAGACAAAAACGCTTGGGTGGCTAAAAATAATCAGATCAGAGGGTCTGGGATCCCTGTCCTACATGGTCAAGGAAGACAGACCAGTCCAGCTCCCCAATTTGACACACTGAAAATGCAAAGCCCAGAGAGTGAAAAGACGCCAGAGATCACATAGCAAATCAGGCCCTGAGCTGGGATCCCGTTGAGGACTACTTGCTTCCACATTATCCTACTCTTTGCTAATGCAGGAAAATGATGGTGAGCAAGACAGACATGGCATGTGGTAGGGTCACAGGAAGGGCCGGGGTTGGTAGTGGTCAGAGAAGTCTGCTCAGAAGGAGGTCACGGCCAGTGGGAGTTGGCCAGACAAAGGGGGTGGGTGCCGTGGTTAGGGAGGGACTCCAAGGAGGCGGCACAACATGGACAAAGGCTTAGAGGAACACGGAGAGTTCAAGACAGGGTCAGGGAGGGTGGATGTGCTGGGGTGTGGGTGGCATTCACTGCCCGGTACTGCCATGCAAAGGCCTGAGGTGGAAGAAGCTTGGTGTGTCCAGGAATGGAAAGAGCCCTGTGGACTCGGAGTGGGCAGAGGAAGGGGAAACGTGGAGAGGGCTGGGAGGGATGGAGGGTACCGTACAGGGCGAGGGCACCCACTCACACTTGCGCAGCTCCAGGCTCTTGCTCGGGCAGGCCAGGTGTTGGCCCGGTGGGTTCTGGGTCCTCTGCAGACAGGCCAGCATGGCTGAGCTGGGGGCCTGCGGTGTGGCACGCTCTGTGGCAGGGTCCCTGTGAGGAAGGAGATGAGGTGCTTGTCACACGGGCTGCTCCATGCCCACCTCCCACCGCCACCAGCCGGGAGTTGCTGCCAGCATCCTCCCCACTATCGGGCAGAACATCAGAGACTTTCAAAACAGCCTCCCTTTCTCCGTGACAGATGAGGCCAAGAGGCATCGAGAGGCTCACACACGGCCTCCCAGGAAGGAAAAGAATCCAGGTCTCCCAAGTGATGGACTCCCACCATGACGGGGACAGAACTGCTCAGAGTACAGGGCACCTCCTCTAATCAGCTTACTGATGCCCCAGGTCTGCGCAGATCCCCACCCTTATCGTGTTCCCTCAGCAGGCGACCATTCCAGGTGGTGGCCCCCAGCTCCCTTGTAACCTGTGAGCAGATCTGATCCCCCAGCCCCCGGTAGCCAGAGACCCCCATCTGGTGGAACTTTCATGGAGGGGCACCCAAGAACTGCCAGTGGGCACATGGGTGTTCCAGTTTACTGAAGTTGGTTTGCCCTTTTTCCAGGGTATTCTCACAGCACCTTTGGAGGGGTGATGTCCAGGATGGTGTCACTGGGAGAACGAGGGGGGCTCTAACCCTGAGTTGATCTCAGACTGAGCCCTGGGCCCAGGCCCCAAGGGCCACCAGGGCTAACTGACCAAGCTCCCTTCCCCAAAAGGAAAAGGCAGGGCCACCAAGGGCAGCCCTGCCAGCATGGGCAGAGGTCTCCAGAGGTGGCAGCTCAGATGTGGCTCCAGACAGGTTCGGATTTGCTCACTAACCCAGAGTCAAATGCCCAGCTTTCACATGGAAATGCACATTTTCCCTTCACAAAGCCCACTTTCCTCAGAACCCAGAATCCCTGAGGAGCAGGATGACACAGGCAGGACCTATCCTGGAGGCCATAGGGAGAGAGTGGGGCTCTCCCTGCCAGGTCCTTCCGTTCCTCTTTTCCCAGTAAAGAGACAACAGGCCCGGGGGGATCTGAGCCCTGGACACCCCTGATGTCTACTCAGCCCAGGCACTCCGTCCCTACCACCTCCTGACCCCACCCCACGCTTCCAGGTCCCAATCAGCCAAGTCCCAAGGCAGAAGTTGGACTAACTCAATCCTCATACTGGTTTTGAAAAAGAATCAGGGGGAAGAAAAGGAAGTTATTTAATACTAAACAGGTGTCTGGAGCCCTAAATTCTGCTGCATTCTTCTAATAATGAAGTATTCATGAGGAAAAGCCTTTTTTCACTACTTTCTTAAGATACTAATTTCACAACAAGCTCCTTGTTACCGCGCAATTATTCCAATCTTGTATTTCCCCGAGACGGTTGCAGCCTCCTGTCTGTCCTGGCCTCTCGGTAAATGAAAGACAATCACGTAACCACCTTTCATTATGCTCTATTTTACTTTCAGCAAAGGTACCCTGAAAGAAATGATTTACACTGAAAGGGACTTTTATTCAGTTTCAAAACCAATTTTCTCCTATTACTGTCTCAAAAAAGAGAGAGAGAGAAAGTAAGGGATGGATGGGGGAGGGTAGTCGGTTTTCATCTTCCCCCCACCCCCAATAGCCAGCCTTAACGCAGCGATGCAGTAAAAGCTGCAGTATCCACTTCCCAGCTTTGATTTCTGGTAATTTAAAAATATGCCATTACAATCAGGCAGAAATTATACAGTTTAAAAAGGGAATGAAGTGGGGCTTATTGCAGAGATGAAAGCCCTTGACTGCGGGAATGAGGCGCCACTGCCACTCCTTGGGGACTTGGGACATGAGTGGGCGGTGGAAGCAGGCTTTGCTGAGGCCCTTGAGGGCACACCCAAACACATGGGTATGCTCTGCCCCTTGCAGACACCCGGGGACATTTGGACATGCTGCCTGCCACGCTGGGTGTCCACATACACCTGTATTCGCTCACTGCATGTTTTCCCGCAGACAGGCATATCACTCTCACTTCTCGCCCGCACCACGTGACATGCCCCTCCATGCCCTCTGGCACCCTCTCACACGTGTAGGCAGCCCACAGCCGGGCATATTGTGTGGCCTGTGGCTACCCCGCAGCACAGCCTCTCTGTCAGCCTCCTGCCCGGTGGTGTCCACCTCTTACCACTCTGGTGCAGGGGCTGGGGCACAGAGGGGAGAGCTGGAGAAGGCCAGCCGGCTGCAGGGCCCAAGCTTCTCCCTCTACAGATGAGGAAACCCAAGCCAGAGGGAAGCAGGATTCCGCCCAGGGCCACCCAGCAGGCAGTGGCTGGGTAAACCTGCTCCCTCACCACTGGGCTATACTGCTGCCCACAGCCAGTGCAGTGCTGGGCCAGAGAGGCGGTGTTGTGTACTGAGGAGCCCTGGGCTGGATGCCTGGACCCCTCTCTGCCCCGCCGCCCCCAGCCCAGTGCCTGCTGTGCACCCCAAGGGAAGCTACTGTCCCTCTTATGGAAATGGCTCCATGACCCCTCCCAGCTCATTTTCCTTCAGGATCCTGGCCTTGCCCAGCCCTGCCCCTTCTCTGGCCTTTCACTGGGTGCCAGAGGCCCAGAGCCCAGTCTCTCTCCAGCCCCAAGGCCCCCCTACAAGTCCGTAAGGGTCACATATCCCAGAATGCTTTGCAGCTGAAAGGGGCAGACTGAGGGCTACAGTTGTTAAGTGAGGGGCAGGCTGCCTATTCTGGGGCTTCTCCGGACCGCCTCACTGCCCTCTCACTCAGGCTCTAGTTTTCAGAGTACTCTGGTAGTGGATGCCCGGGCAGTTCTGGGAGCCAAGAGGTCACCTGCCCCAACTGGGGCGGGCAGGGGCGGGGCACAGAGGATTCTCTGGAGGCCTCAGTTCAGCTTTTCTGGTATAGCCGTCTGGATTCGTCCCTTGCTTCTGGAGGCCCAGCAGGCAGGGCCCTGAAGCCTGAGAGATGGGCTTTACTTGGAGAGGAGGGATTCTCTTCTCTGCTCGCTTGGTTCCCCTAACTCATTGCTCGTTCTCCCAGGAGCCTGTGTAGTGCTGCTGGGGCAGGTGGGGGTTCCAGTGTGTGTAGGGGGACAGGGGCCAGCCGAGCATGAGGACATGTGGACCACCATGTCCAGTGTCTGTATCAGCCCCATCATCTACCTACAAGACTAAGATCCCTCTCCTCGGCCTTAACACTTCTCTCCGGGCTCAGACTAGAGCCCAACCTTCGTTTGCCTGGCCCCCAAGGCCCCCATAACCTGCCACCCTCGTCTCTCGTGGCTTCCTCCAGCCCTCCCTCCAGCCTGGCTGCCTCCAAACCTTTGCCTGTGCTGGTCCTATTGCCTGCAGTACTGCTACCCCGATCCATTTTTAACTTAGAATCTGGCTCCCCCCTCGCAGCCCTAATCACACTAAATTGTAACTGCCAATTTTCATGACTGTCTTTCTCCACTGGACTCTGAGTTTCTCAGGGGCAAGGATCATGTCTTGTCTCTTTCTCTCCAGTGCCTGGCAAAGAGTACCATTTAATAAACAGGTGTTGAATGAATGGCTGAATCAATGAATTGGTTATTGTCAGATGAAGTGACCAAGGCCCAGAGGAGCCAACCACCCTGTACATGGTCACACAGCAAGCTGGGGACAGGACTGTGGCAGGTACTGAAAACATTCGTGATCTTCCCGTGACCCCACCCTGCCCCCTCCCTGCTTAGCATCATCCCATCCGTAGAAGGCGAGCCCCTCGGAGCCCCCACCAGCACTCATTACACCTCCAGCCAGGGACCATCCTGGGAGCACTGCTCATTTTGAAATCCTATCGGCAAATCAGGCTGTTTATAAGCCCAAGGTCTTTTGTGACTTTAATAATAAAAAGAGGGGAAGGGAGGGGGAAATGCCGTCAGCCTCAATGATTAGAATGCCTTGGCACTGTCCCTGACATGGGGTCTGATAAGACGCCTTATCTCAGAGGCACCCCTAGGAAAAGGTCCCCTTCACCAGATAACGCCCCCAGCTGTCTATATGCCCTTTCATAGCTGAGGATTTAGATAAAAGAAGTGTGACAGGGGAGGGGAAAAAAGGAAGGAACTCTCCAAGTCCAAGGTGGAACTGAGTCGGTGCTGCTCACCTTGGCAGAACAATGAATAGGAGAAGGATGTCTAAAAGCTGTCTTTATTTTTGTTAAAAGAATGGGGAACTGGAGCCTGCCTGCCTTTTGTCATCTCTTCCTTCCTGTCTGGCTACAGAGGGCTTTGGGGACCCTCAGGCCAGCGGGAGGGGGTAATCTGAAAATAACAATGCCCCCATGAATACTAATAATAGCAGTGCACATTTATCGAATGCTCCCTCTGTGCCACACCCCATGTGCATCCTGTCTGTTATACCTCACCACATCCTCCTAGCATCCTCTGTGTGGCTTCTGTTTTTAGCCCCATTTTACAGATTAGGAAATGGTCACAGAGGGGAAGTAGTCTGCACAAGGTCACATAGTTTTTAGATGACAGAGCCCAAAGGTGTCAACCCCTACTAGAGCCTGCACCCTCAGCTCCACACTGTATGGCTCCCACCCTGGCCCCATTGTGGTTGGGGGCCCATCAGCCCCTAGCTCCCAGTCAGCTGGGCAGGAGGAAATAGAAGAAAAGGTCTGCTTCTCCCCACTGCCCAAATCTACTTTGATTCTATTCCAGGAGAGGCTGGGATCACAGAGAGGGAGGAGGTGAGAGGAAGGGAAAG